TCCTTTTCTGTTATTTTCCTCTATTTCTTTGCATTGTTCATTTAAGAAGGCCCTCTTGTCTCTCCTTGCTATTCTTTGGAAGTCTGCATTCAATTTTCTGTAACTTTCCCTATCTCCCTTGCATTTTGTTTCCCTTCTTTTCTCTGCTATTTCTAAGGCTGTGACACACCTGGCCCCAAATCAAATAATCAACACAATTAGACTTTGGGGGCGTTGCAATATTTAGGTTTTGGGGGTACTTCCAGAGAAGTCTTTTTATTGTACAGTTTTCTTGCCACAGTGGATCCCAACCTTGGGTCCCCAGATGTTCTTGGACTAGAACTCCCAGAAATCCTGGCCAGCACAGCAACTGGTGAAGGCTTCTGGGACCTAAAGTTCAAGAACATCTGGGGACCTAAGGTTGGGAACCATCAACCTACCTCATTCATTGATTAATGGGATGTGGAGGGGTAGTCCAGGTGCTGTCATCTTTGGGAGTTGGAAAAATTACTTTTTTGGACTATGTCTCCTAATATCTCTCAGGCAGCATGAGCACTGGTTCTAGGACAATAGTCCCAACCTTGGGTAACCCAGATGTTCTTGGTTTGCAGCTCCCAGAAGCCTTCATCACTAGCTGCACTGGCCAGAGTTTCTGGGAGTTCTAGTTCAAGAATACCTGGGAACCCAAGGTTGGGGCCAGAAGCCTTCATCACTAGCTGCCCTGGCCAGAGTTTCTGGGGGTTCTAGTTTAAGAATACCTGAGAACCCAAGGTTGGGAACCATTGCTCTAGGAGCTATAGTATTTTTAAAAAATGCCAAGCTTTCATAATCTCTCCTTTTAACCCAACCACATTGCACCACTATTCTTTTCCTCTTTTTTTGCACAACCACAAAAAAGGGTTCTCCCATTAAAGAATGAAGGAGTAACAGGTTCAGAGTGTCTGTCTAGAAACACCCTCATTTATTTTCCTTACCAAGGTTTATTTCTCTTCTGGTCCTAACTTCGGAGGTGTTTGAAGGCATTTGGGATAAAACTTGAAGGTGAATTCTTCCCTGAGGCCATCTTTGCCTTCCATTGGCTTTGTGGTTCAACAAAGGTTGACAGGAGGGTGTTTTGACACAAGAGAAATGAATCAGTTCTGCTTCATGATTGCACCAAGCCTACCGTTGGGTTCGTCTTTAAACAAATGACTAATCGCCTAGGAATAGAACAACATCACCTTGGGAACAATCTATGAGTGTTCTCCAGCTCATGAGAATTGCCAGCCACAGTTAAATGACTGGATGGCAAGAGCAGTAATCTAAGAGGAGCTTTTGAAAATGCTGGCATTGACGCACACAGCACCAGAAACAATTTGTTGGTGAGAACACTCATCTAATGGTGTTTTTCCAAAGTGCTCTGTAACACAGAGATGTCTAACATGCAACACGTTTTCACTTCATTTCACTGGGTTCATTCCTCTCTGTTGTGATGTCTTTTCCTGTATTCTAGGCTTGCAGGCAGGATAAAGGAAACCTCTTGATCTGCCTGTCCTGCTGACACACTCACCACCAAAATGGCGGAAGATGCTGACATGCGCAATGAGTTGGAAGAAATGCAGCAGCGTGCTGACCAGATGACTGATGAGGTGAGGGAAGAGGGACCAAAACTATAACAAGCATCTGCTGTCTTGCCCAAAAGCTCAAATCCCCCACCACCACCACCAAGAAACAGTTAAGACTCATGTCCTACTTTCTGAGCCTCTCCATTTCTGATCCTTAGATCAGGAGAGGCTGGACCTGTGAGCTTTTCCACGACAAGCAGGCACTTATCCGCTGAACTACAGCACAAAAAAATAAAGATATGGTTGAAAATTTAAAAATAAAAATTCCAAGTTTCACTACAACCTTTCCCATAGGACAGTGAAACAGAGAAGGGTAGTACTGAAAGTCTTTGGCTTCTGCCTAGTTACGGCTGCTTTCCAAGCTGCCCGATGTAATAGGGATTGTATCAGAAGGTCATAAAATTGGAGAAGGCTGTTCTAGGTTGACCACAAACTGACAGTCAATTATAGCTATGTAACTAGCGCTGCTTGTGGGCTTCCCATAAGCATTTGGTTGGCCATTCGTTACGGGAACAAATTGCTGGACTAGATAGGCTTTTGATCTGACTTCCATGGCTCTTCTTAATATTCTTATCTAGTTGTAGATTAGAACTGGGGAGCCTCTGGACCTCCAGATGTTGTTAAATTCTAGTCAGCATTAATCATTGTGTCCAGTGATCAGAAACAATAGGAGTTGTTAGTCCAGCAATGATTGGACAGCCAGAGTTGCTCCATTCCCAATATAGGTCTATCTATTTATCTGTTTATCATCATACTCCTTTTTAAAGCCATCTTGACCACTGTTCTGGGTGAAATATGGACTTTCTAAATAAATAAGGATATACTGAACTATTTTACTAAAGGCTTGTTGCTTCTTATAAGAGTTTTGCCTGTGCAGTACCACCACCTAGAGCAGCTCCATAGTAAATGGTACCAGCATTGTTCTCTGTGGCCACTAACAATATTGTTGTGTCCCACCACCTTCACTCACAAGCATTGTGAATTTGGCACTGTAATATTCTTCTGCTTCCCACGCTTAAAGCTTAGATAAGAACCGTGTCCTTGTCAACCTGAGGAAGCTATGGTTGATTCTGGAAAACCAACCAGAACAGGTGTTGTAAGAATAAGTGATAGGATACAGAACCAAGTCTGCCATCTTGGATTGCATAGTCTCAGGCTTAGAGGAAAGTGGGATAGGATTGCGTTTCTGACTGCATGTGATGCAATCAAGTTTACCAAATGTAACTTTCTTTTCCCTTTGTTTTTCCTTTTGTTTCCCCCTCTTCTCAGTCACTCGAAAGCACTCGTCGTATGCTGCAGCTTGTTGAAGAGGTAAGGGGTTCATGGCTTAGCAGGAAAGCTTTTCTGGGGCACGTAGTGGCTTTCAGGACAGAAGCCGCCCTTCTTGAAGTCCATGAAGCTAAATACTAGAAACCTTACTAACTGCCTCGGTGGGATTGTTCGATCTACGAAACAGTCTTTCCTAACACAGGGCATATAGGTGTACACTAAGCCAGAGGCTTTGGTATTTCTCATTCTGTGAGTATGCACATCAGCAGTTATCAAAGGTTTTCTGGTAACATGCGTACTAACCTCACACGGTGAAAAACAGCTTTGAGCTGCTACTTGACAGTATACTAGCAGCAGTATACGTAATGCAAGAAATGACATTCCTATATATTATGTGCCTTTGTACCTATCATCATGGTAAGTTAAGCAAAAAAACTATATGCTTGACAAATGAACATAAGAAACCATCTTAACTTATTTCACTGTGTTGGTCTGTTACAACTGTTCTGGGCTCGGCGACAAATAATTATGAATGGCATACTAGTCCACAATATGAAAAGTCAAATGTAAAAGATTGCAGGGTGGATCCAAATATCGTCATTCTTAGAGTGCATTGATTGAAATAATGACTAAACTATACCTTCCTGATTTCAAGTATGAGTAAGGCAGGATCCACTCCATTGAAATGAAGTAGTTTCTACTCTAACTCCAATGATAAAAAGCCAGCCTACAATAAGGTGTTGTACGCTGATTCCTATACGCCAGATATCATGTTAGGAGCACCTTTAATAGAGAGAAATGATGCAATGATGGTGTGGCTATTGAGAATTCCTCCATTATAAATCAATTAGGACATAATTGATTTGACACTCCGTTGACATGGTCGCTGACTTCCTACTCAACTTGTATTGAGTAGCTAACCTGTACCTAATGTAAAAATGTCACGATGAAACTCAAAGAAGCAAACTTCTAAGGACTGGATCCAGGTTTAGGTGTGTACAGCAGGGCTGGCAGAAGCAAGCTCCCTTACACCATTCTCTCATAGCACACCCCCTTCCCCTCTGAAAATGCTACACAGAGGATTCACATTTCACACTCTCAGGGAAAGTAGTATTTTTTAGCATGGTGAGATGAAACATTCCTTACCTTGAGAATTCACACATTTGTGACGCTTATAGGATGTTTTGGAGAACTCATATTGTGACTGCCGCCACCCCTGCCCCGGATAGGGGTGGGCCAAGTGGGCTTCCTCGACCATAGGCCCCATGAACTCCACTCTTGTTGCTGCTGAAATTCTTCTTTGTCAGGGTAGAAGAACGGGGTGTGAGGGTTTTTGAAGATGAATGGCTGTATTGTCTAGAATAGCCATTCTCAATGGGGGCCATGTGGCTCCCGGGGGGGGGGGTTGGCACATTTGAAGGGAACCACAGACTGGAAACAATTCTTCACACACACCCTTATAAAGTTTGTTGTGTGACCTATACAGTCCTGATTCAGGCTGTATTTTATATATATATTGTCTTTGGGAATAGCTGGTCTTGAAGACTGTGATGGGGAAAGCTCCCTGAGGAGCAGACTGCTCGCTTCATCACAGGTTCATGCAAGGGAGCACTAGCAGGCCTTTCTCCCCTGCAAAATGTATGATCAAAATGGAATTCTCCATTCAAAGAGAATTTTGAATGGATAATTCCATTTTGATCCTGCATTTTGCAGGACCACCATTTTATTTCACTTTCCAGACCTTTTCTGACATGGAGCAGTTCTTAGACATGAAGCCTTTACAGCCCCCTGGCCCATAGTCCTTGCACTGCAGACTGAACCTGGAACTTCATAGTTGTTGTGGGTTTTTCGGGCTCTTTCTTGCACTGCAGACTGAACCTGGAACTTTATAGTTGTTGTGGTTTTTTGGGGCCCTTTAGTCGTGTTCTGAAGGTTGTTCTTCCTGATGTTTCGCCAGTCTCTGTGGCCGGAGTCTTCAGAGGACTCTGAAGAGGCCGGCCACAAAGACTGGCGAAACATCAGGAAGAATAACCTTCAGAACACGGCCAAAGAGCCTGAAAAACCCACAACAACTATTAGATCCCGGCCATGAAAGCCTTTGCGAATGCACTGGAACTTTATGTTTACAAAGCAATCCTTCAACCTCTGTGCTATAGCCTCCTCTCTCTCTTGCAATCTCCAGGGCTTCTTTGCTGTTTACCAACTCCTTTTGTCATGTATCTGTTTCACAGTAAAGGGACAGAAAAAGAAAATGCTTGCATTTGGTTCTACTCCGCTTCGCCTTTGACACCTGTCCACCACACCATACCCACTGATCAGAAACAGTATTTCCAGGATGTGGAAGTCAGAGAAAGATTGAAACAGAGGCAGAGATAATCATGACTTCTTTCCCTTGTCAGAGTTGTTGAATCATCTGCACAGAGAGTCAACAGGGAGCTATCAAACCATGGCCCTCATCATGTTCTGAGTAAACACAGACAAGAAAAAATTGTAAATAGTTTGATTTAGTTAACCAAGCAGGCTCTTTGCAAACACAAAAAGAAGATAACAAAGGGGCAGATTTAAAAAAATACAATTGAACATTGGGCAAAATCAAATTGCAATATAGAATAAAATGCTACATCAATTAATTATTTGACTAAATAATTAGTAATTTAAATGTTTCTGGGAGATTATACTGACACTGGAGAGAATGAAACATTTCCTCCTTTATGAAGCTAATTTAACATATTTAACAAATCTTAAATGTCAAATAATAGTCTGTTCCTATCTAAACCTAGTTTTATTTGAGAAAATATTATCTCTAGTACTGGCAAACATGAAGTCAAGATATTTAATGCTTAAGTCTAGATGTGAAGAGTGTTCTAGGAGAAAAGCAAACCAAGTCTTCTGTCCTCCAGCATCTGGAAAGACAATTCTCCTCATTTTAGAGAGTCTTCTATAACGTCCCTTGACCTACCTCAGCTGCAAAATATTTAGTCTGCATTTATTTAAAAGCTGCTTAAGACCATATGTGTAAAGGAAAATAAAACATGGGGGCAAATCCCCAGGAAAGGCAGTAAAATTGTTCGTACAGTTTGTTAGTGTGACAATAAACCTGAAGTATGGAAGTAGCTTGGAAACCAGCACTGATGAGATGCCTTGTAGCTTCCAGTGAGGCATGGCTGTAGCTTTGTTTAATCGAAATAGGCCAGTTCAGAAACAGTTCAGCTAGTGTTGGTAGCCTATGATTCTGATCCCATGTTTTCCAATGCTATTAGGACTAAGGAGGATTCAGCTCGAAAAATTATATTCTGGTGACTGATCATCAAGCAAAAACAAGCTAATTTTCAATCGATGGAGAATAATCTGAAATCTCACTGAATCAGTTGTATTTTACAACCTGAGGCAGCTCTACTTCTATTTGTGAAAATGTCATCCTGGCTTCTTTGGATGCCCAACACTAGAGAGCTATTCCCACTCAGTGCCAATAGCACTGAACTAGATGGATACGACATAAGGCAGTTGCCTATATTGACAGCTGGAATGGAGCTAACCTGTTTTCGGAGCAGATTTTAATTGCCCGTTGCCTAGACCAGTGGCTTCCAATCTTGGAAGCTGCCCCAGCCCCAGTTACACCCTCCAGATATGACTCATCCACTTTTGCACTCCCACCTGGGGCTCTGCTCTTGCTCTCTGCTCCCTCAGGCTGCCTTGCTCCAGGAAGTCCACGGGAAGGGGGGGGGGTTTAAAGGTCCAAGACAGGGACAGCCAGAATGTCCTCATCAAAGGTTATCATGGCTAATTTCGATTAAAACTATTAACATTGGAGGTCTGCTTAAAAATACCTCCAATGTGAAATCTAATTTTAAAGCTGTCTCACAATGAAACGAAGCTAAACAGAGCAACTAAAATAAAATAAAATCAGAACATTAAAATAATCCCCATATTTAAAACAAACACAGGGACAGCCAGAATGTCCTCATCAAAGGTTATCATGGCTAATTTCGATTAAAACTATTAACATTGGAGGTCTGCTTAAAAATACCTCCAATGTGAAATCTAATTTTAAAGCTGTCTCACAATGAAACGAAGCTAAACAGAGCAACTAAAATAAAATAAAATCAGAACATTAAAATAATCCCCATATTTAAAACAAACCTAGAGGATACATTTATACAATTTTTAAAAATAGGCTGAACCAAGTTTTAAAGCCTTCTGGAAGGTTGGCAAAGATGCTGCCAACATCCCTTCTCTTGGTGGGAGACACACAAGACGCCCCTTGATAGAATGTGGAAATTGCAGGCAGGTTTGTGTGGAAAGAGGCATTCTTTTAGACATTGTGCCCCCCCCCCCATTATTTAGAGCCAGGGTAGGGGAACTGTGGAGCAAGCCACATTTCACACGTCTCTTTCTGCAACGCCCATAACACTTTCCCCACCCCAGCCCAACACACCCTTCATCTGCATGACGTGGAAGGGCTGTGTTAAATATGAAATAGGAACACAATTGTTCCTCTCTCCCTTTTTTGAGAGGCTGTCACAGAACAGTGAAATGTCCAATCATTGGCATGAGAAGATAAGCCGCTAGGTGCACTCACTCTGAGCGGAGGCGCCCCTCCCTTCTTTTGGTGGCGATGTCTTTTGGTGTAATGATCCCCGAAATATATCAAGGGAGTAGGAACGAGGAAAGAGCTTTTGCAAAGGACAGTGATGCCTGCTTTGCATATACGTCAGCACCACTAAATCTGGAGCAAATAGTCATTCCCATAAAAATGCTTGACCTCTGGGCCAATTCTAAAGATGAAAACCCTCGCAGAAAAAGGCAGGCCTTCTGGATGAATCTGTTTGGCATTTCACTCTGCCGCTTCAGAGAAGATCAGTTATCGAGGAAAATGCCATGATCTGCTGAGATTAGTTAAGCCTCTACTGAATGTTTGCAAGATTTACACATTGGGGGAGGGGGGAGGAGCAGTGATGAGTGATGTGTATGGGGGAGGGGATGTGATTTTCCCCCCCTCCCAAATGCCAGTTGAATATTGAGCATGCTTTGGGGTGTATGTGTGTGGGGAAATAATCCTTTTTTGGACTATAACTTCTAAAATACCCCAGCCAACCGCCTCCCCAAATTTTTCCACTCACTTAAGAGTAAGTTCATGAAACTAAGGTGATTTAGAATGGCACTAAATGATTGATTTTGTTGTGGAGCTATTATTTCCCTTGTCAACAGCATGCATCTTTGGCCACATGCCAAGACAAAGGGAAGCAGGGCTCATGCATACAGCAGATGGCCATCAGGAGGCAGAACTAATGCCTAGGTTCACATGCCCCAACTGAAATGGGCAGCTCTTTCACAAGAGGGATAATAATAATAATAATAATAATAATAATAATAATAATAATAATAATAATAATAATAATAATAATAATAATAATAATAATAATAATAATAATAATAATAATAATAATAATAATAATAATAATAATAATAATAATAATAATAATAATAATAATAATAATAATAATAATAATAATAATAATAATAATAATAATAATAATAATAATAATAATAATAATAATAATAATAATAATAATAATAATAATAATAATAATAATAATAATAATAATAATAATAATAATAATAATAATAATAATAATAATAATAATAATAATAATAATAATAATAATAATAATAATAATAATAATAGTAGTAGTAGTAGTAGTAGTAGTAGTAGTTATTATTATTATTATTATTATTGCCCCAAATAATAACATTCCCCAAAATGTCTGCAGATGCCCTGGGACTTGGGAACCCTAAGGAAAGAGGCAAGATTTACAAAGTGCTTGAGCTTCCTTGCAGGGGACAAAAGAGTTTGGAAGCTTCTCTCATACTGTATTAGATATATCTGTCTGACTTTGTTGATCTCTTTAGTTATAGACATCTCTGTCAGTCTGTCTCCAGTGTGTATATATTGCAGGTTTAACGTGCCTGAGTTCTGCTGTAGGTAGTGCTCAGGTTGTGGCTTTAAACCCACCAATCCGAATTCATATATAGGAACTGCTGGGAGAATCAGAATGAAGTAGATAGATTTGAGATGGGCAAGATATGATATACAGTGCCTTTCAAATGAATTCATTAACAGATTCCCTTAGCCACTGGGCAGCATCATGGCGTTCACACAGACTGTGCTTCAGTGAAGCAAATGTGTGTCAAGGGAGGAGAACTAAGGAAATAAATCACAAGGCATGGCAAGGAAATGGTTCTGCAAGCCCTTCTTGTGTCTTCAGGCAACTGACACTTGCTTTTAGTATCTTCTACTGGCTGGCACTGTCAGACTGTCCTGGTAGATTAATGTCCCTGTAGCCTCATTTAGAACAAAATGGCTAAACTACAGCAAATGAAATAAAAGTCATTTAATTGCACACCAATTTCAGAAAATTCAAAACAGGCCTCCATCTGATGTCCACAACCCAATGTGGATTCATGGCAAAAGCAACATTGAAAAACTAATCTAAATAAATTAGTAGCTATGTTCATTTGGCTGATTTGACCCTAGAATTACTTTTAATTTGTTTATTTTGGGAAAAGTTACTTAGAGTTCTTATTCTTTAAACCTAAAAGGAGATATGGGTTTTTTACCATCTTTTCCAATTCTGAATTTGCCAATTCCTGCAAAGTCTACTTGTAAGATTTTTGATCTGTGCTACCTAGCAGCTCGCGGGAGGGAAAATTGGGCAACATAACCAAAGTCTTCTGAAGACTGATGTCTTCTATTTTGACCAAGCAGCTCAGCCTTCCTTGATTGTTTTTGGTGTGTGTGTTGGGGGGGGGGAGAATTTCAACTTCATTGCCCCATCACCATTGGAGAATTCTGTCATAGACACCCCACTGGAGAATTTTCTGCAAAATCCCTCCCCCTCTCCCTTAGTCTCCCATAATGATTGAATTTCAGCAGGCCAGCTTTTCTCATTTCCTGTATTAGATCCACTAATCAACATTTGCTAAATCAGCATCTATTCTTTGTTTTTGCTTAGACTGTTCTTTTTTCTTGTCCACATTCCTACCTTTATTGTCTTTCACTCTGAACACCATTTCAGTATCACTCCCCAACAGGAATGGGTACTTAATTTGGGGGTGCTCATACAGTCACTAGGCGCTCAAGTAACCTGAATGGTAAAGAATGCCTGTTACCAGCTTGGTATGACTATTCCTTGATAGAGACAACTTGGATACAGTAATCCATACATTGGTAACTTCAAAATTGGACTATTCTCGTGGTCTTCATGTGGGTCTCACAGGGAGAAGCCTTTAAACCACTCCTTAAATATCCCACATAACTTGCAAACCCTGTGAGGGTAACTAGAAGTCTGATGAAACTTGATAACACATAAGAATAAACACATACATGGCCATACCCTTGAGCCTGATTCTGAGGCTGCAGATAGCTGCTGGGCAGATTGGCAAAGTTTATGGTACACACAGGATTCCTGCATTGAAATATCTGCACTGGTTGCCAAGCAAATACAAAACCTGTGCAAGGGTTTACTTTTAGACTGTCTGAGGGACCATCTCCTCTCGTATAAACTGTGCCAAGCTTTATGTTTTCAGGATCCTAACAATTTTACTTCAACCTAATGTAGTTACTGTGCAGAGAAGGACCTTAACGTTATCTTATCGTTTCCACTGAGCGGAATGGTCTTTCTGATGAAATCAGATGAGGCCCCAATGCTGGATGAGTCCTCTAGATCCACCCAGTTGCCCAGGCATTTAATTCATTGTTAACCTTACTGGATAGTCCTGATTTTTAATGAATTATTTAGATGAACTGTATCATCTGTATTGTTCTTTAACTCTTGTTTGCGTTGTTACATGCTGGTTTGGAACTTTTCAATGAAAAGCAGTATAAAATGCTATAAAATAAATGCATGACTGTTTGGGTGCCATTCAGGCTGACACTGGATTATCTATAAGTCTGGACATTTCACTCTTAGCCTTGACTAAGCCCTGCCTTCGATGAGAGATCTAGGGATCCATTAGTGTCTCCTAACTTGTCCCTTTTGCCCAGCTAGGATACAAAGGTTCTCCTTCTCCTCCTGTGGATCTTGTTAACTGGGCCTACTTTTGAGTTAGCTGGCTGTCCCGTATATGAGCATTACATTTGAACAGAAGGTGCACGTGTCCATTTTATGTAGCTGATTCTTGGACTGCATGCAGAATACTAATGATACTGCTGAAGCTTATGCAGAAAGCCCATATATGCCATTGTGTGGGCACCCAATGGGATATACTTTGTCTGGGTCGGGTTCTGGAGACATCCCCTCACACCACCATAATTTGTATATTAGAACTGTTGGGGGAGGAGGGGAACATATAATCCACGCTGAGCCTAGACAACAATTTGTGGAGACTAGGTATCCAACTCAAGACCAACTGGTGTCAGAAGAAGGAAAATATTTTTGTTTGGAAATGTTAATTTCAGACTTTGTCCTGCTGGACATGGGAAATTAACACCCATGTCCAGCAGAACAAAGTCTGAAATTAATATTTCCAAACAAAAATATTTTCCTTCTTCTGACACTAGTTGGTCTTGGCGTTGGATACCTAGGAGTTAATCACCTTTCTGTGCATAGCAGCTAGACAAACGATTGCTCAGTCATGGAACGTGGCTGTAAAAAAATCTTAATCAGCACTTCTTGGAAATGTGGAGTATGGAAATTAGCATCAGTGGAAAAACTCACTGCACACTCGCAATTAAGGCATCAGAATTTTCAACAAAGATTCACTGAGCCGAAACCCGGCTCCTTTTCATTCAGTATTGTAGTAATTATGGAGATTCTTTTGGCGATCACGCAACCTGGCGATCCCCCAAAAGATGGCATGAGGAATGTTACGTTTTTCTATACATTCTCAAGTATGGATGTAACCACTTCCTGTTGTGTTCCTCACCCCTCGTCATGCCTTTTGCTGTTGATCCTTGATCCTGTTTTCCCCCATATCAAGGACTGCTCGTTCTCTCACTAATTTCTTTCTTTCTTTCTCTATCTCTGTCTCTTTGCTTCATCTTGATATTCTTGCTGGAATGTAGAGCAAAGATGCTGGTATCAGGACTTTGGTTATGTTGGATGAGCAAGGAGGTAAGTTCAGATCATTTACCTAAGAAATTAAAATTATCTTTCCAGGGAAGTGAATCATTAACTGCGGTTATCGATTAAAGATCATAACCGAACCATAAACATGGCCTAAACCTGGTCTTTCATCCCAGCTAGAACAGACCGATTGAATCCATAGAACTTACAGAAATGTTGATGTACTGATGTTCCATTAATTCAATGGCTATACTTTAATAGAAACTGACAGTCGGATTTGAGCCAAACTCATTTTGTAGAACAGACTCCCTAACCTGCTGGCGAAAGAAGCAATCTGGGTAATAGTTCCAGTTGCACGGCGGCACCTGAAGAACAAACTGCCACAAATATTGCAAACAGATTTTGCTGAAGTGTCGTTACATTGGTAGCGGTCATGCTTTGAGATGTCAAATTAATTAATTCTCTGATCGAAGGATTATTTCTTAAGTGAAAGGTTGGTGATGATTCAGAACTTGGAAAAGCTGTGATCACTGCACTGTGCTCAGGGTCTAACCAAATTTGCATTTGTTTTTAGCAATGTACTGTATATATTGGATAAATGATTTCTCTGTTTCAAAGAAAAATGTGGCACTCCAACATGCGATTGAAAAAGCTGTGTCTCTGCTAGCTTCTGGGATTCTCTTGGTGTTTGTGCAGTGCGCCTAAACCCTCTATGTGTCCACAGATGATCTGATTAAAGAGGCCATTTGTTAACCTTGCCATGTGATCTTTTTTCAGATGACCCTGGCAGCAGAAGTTACTTAAGGTTATGAGGTGTTATATAGCTGAGGACTGACATGGATTATTTGAATGTGCAGATGACCAAGTGTATCACATCTCTCCCCCCCCCCATGTTTTTAGATTTCCTAATTGACTTGTTTAGTTTGATGTGGCATATGATTTGCAAGACAAATGCCTCACATGTCAGTCTCAGTGTAATTAGCACAAAGTAAGCATTTATTTCTGGAATGAAAACAGGAAGCACTACACAGCCATCACAAAGGGCCTCCTCATAGAACCCGTTATTCAAATTCACAGACTCTATAGACATTTGTGGCATTGAAATTTGGAAGGTTGGTGTCATAAGGACCAAACGTAGCTGATGCAAGGTGAAGAATTGTTAGTACTAATATTGCACTCTGCTTTTGGTTGCTATTTAAGATATTGGTTTCATGATTGCCACCAAATCTTCCTGTAGCCAGTGAGAACTAGATCCTTGTATACACATCAGAATACCTGTACTTGGCACATCATCTCCCATATAAAACTATGCCTTTAGCCTTAGTCTACTTAAACATGCTTCTTGTCTGCCAAGGCTGTTTTGTGAAGCACAGCCCAGATTCCTTATCAGTCCTATTGATGGGAGCATTTATGAACATTTATGAATGGCATCAAATGTTTTGCCATGCCCAGCATATTTAGTTATCCTCCGGATTATAAAAGTTGCAGTGGGCAGTGCCTGAGTGGGTAACTGAAGTGGAGAATATGGCTAATTATCTCTTTTGAGTACAACTAAGTTAAATAGCTAAGGGAGAATGCAGTATGCAGTCCAATCCTAAACGTGTTTACTCAGAAGCAAATCCCATTGCTTTCAATAAGTCTAACTCCAAAATAAATGGGCATTGGATTGCAGTTGTGGAACACAGTCTGATGCATGTTTACTCAGATGTAAGTCCCTGTGGGGGACAAATGGATTTTAGTAATTCTAGTAATTGTGTTTAGGATTGCACCCTAAGCTAACAAAGCAAGAAGAGGTGATTTAATCAACATGCCAAGATTAGGGTGATTAAATCCTATTGACCTAAGGCAGGGCAGGAGTCCAAATTGGACTCAATCCAAGCCCTTTGGGCGCATTGGGATTTGGACAGGACTGCCACTTTTGGCTGTGCCTCATGAATATACGACGTGGCCATGGCTTTTACAAGGACCTAACTGGAAACGAGCTTCCCCAGCACTGAGTCCTGGGAATTGTTTTTCCAGTGCCAGTGATGTCATTGCAAGATGCAAAGAACAAGACAATATGTACTTGTGTCACCGTGTGTGTGTGAAGAGTGTAGTCCTCATCACTGAGTAACCCCAAGTAAGCATATATACAACTGAGAGCGGTGCTTAAGAACCCACATCAGAGAGAGCAATTTTCCAGGCATGACTGAGGTATACCCACCTTCCTCTTTAAAAACTAATTAGCGGTGCTGTTAGGCATTCTACCCACTCATCCCTTCCTCTCCTGGCAATTATCCCTGAGCTGGCAGTGCAAGTGTTGAAACAGAAGCTGCTACTGCTCCAAAGCTGCCTGAACATCGCCCTGAGCTGAAGTTTATCTTCCCAGGTCGGCTAACAAAAACCTGGCTTCTGGGAAGATCTGTGCTGATAATTGGAAACTGGTGTACAGCACAAAGAACTATGCTAGATCTGATCTCAATCATTTCAGCCATTTCCCCCACCCGAAGAATCTGTTTCCTTTTTTTCCCCCAGGAAAACATACTTGACTGTCCCCCAGTCTCCCTCCACCACCAGCTTCCTGATGCATTCCAAATGTTTAAGACTATAACTAACCAGCATAACCAACAGGAGTCAGAATCCAAGAAATTTGGAGGATGCCAGAGTCAGGGAAGCTGCCTTATATTTTTCCCCCAGATGTAAAAGCAAAGCAAAAACGTACTGCTTATATATTGCCTCATAACACTTAAACCACTCTCCAGGTGGTTTATAATTAATTAAGCAAGTTACATCATTTCCCACCCACCCCCAACCCCCAGCAAGCTGTGTAATTAATTTACTGACCTTGGAAGGATGGAAGGCTGATTGAACCTCAAGCCAGCTACCTGGGATTGTAAACCAGGTTGTGAACAGAGTTTTGGCTGCAGTGCAGCAGTTTAAGCACTGCGCCACAAGGTTTATTTTGTAGACTGTAACAGATCTGGAACTAGTTTCTGTTTCTTTCAGTTTTCCCACTCCTCTTTGCTCCTCATTGCCTGCCAGACAAAGATTTGGAGAAGGACAATTTAAGAAGTCAATAGACAAACTTCAATTCCACCAACACCTCTCTTTTTCTCCCCAGCATTTTCCCATTTCACTTCAGGGACTGGCCTTTTATTTGATGTTTATGACTCATGCTGTCTTCTTCCTATTCATGTATGTAAATATGTAAGTGGTATTCTTTTGGTTCCAGTGAAGAAAATGAAACATAACCTGCTTCAATAGTCTAATGCTTCTTTCCCCTTCATTTGTTTTTCTCTTTATAGCTGGGATTAGTCTTTCCTGCTTGATTAAAATGCTTCCTGTCTATCTGTTCATCATATTAAGTTAGAAAATTCATGTAGAGGTGAATAACTGGTGATGTCCTGGTGAAGTGAAAGGGTTTATGACAGTACAAAACTATTGACAAACAGTGGCTTAAATGGCAGTCCGATGCATGCTTATCCAGACGTAGGACCCACTGAACTGTGTTTTCTCCTATGTAGATATGTATAGGATTGCACTGCTAGGTAGCAGCCCTATGTGTACTTAACTGGGAGTTAGTATTATTGATACAATGGGGCTTCCTTCAAAATAAAAATGTGTTGGATAGTCCTGGATGATTTTTAGTGCTTATCTTACTCCATATTGCTACTATGAAGGATTTTGGATAACTTTTGCTTATGCTGTAATAATAATCACTAATTTCATGATATGAAATGATTCTCAGCTCCTTGTTAATATGTGGGTCATGGTGATGCATTATCAAGGACCATACGTTTTGCGTTCATGAAAGCCACGTATTATTTGCATATAAACCCTCTGTAGTGGGCTTGATGCTTATGTTATGTTCTAATGCAAATCAGGTGTAACTTCATTAAAGTGAAAGGAATTACATTGACCCTAATAATGTCCTGGAAGCCATGGAATCACCAGGTAAGCAATAAAACCATTACTTTACAGTAGTCATGAAAAGAAAGCCCAACAGCTTGCTGTATTAATATATTCGTAGATGTAGATACACATGCATACATATTTTCCATCTGTTCTAAATGCCTCTGAGTCTATGGCAGTCTATCCATCTGCTTCTTTGGACATGAAACTGGGTCCTGTGATTATTATAATTCCTTCTACTTCACTGGGGTTACTCCTGGCATATAACAATGTCACTGACAGAGGAATAAGACCCATGGTCTTCTCTTCTTTAGAGATGGACCACGGCCAAAAATTCAGATCTGAAGAGCCTCAGTCTTTGAAAAAGTTTGTATCTGGACATGGATTTTAACTCAACTACTCATATCCATTCTTAATACCATTATTAACTGTGCACTCTCTCACCAACTCTCAGAATCAAACCAATTACATTTCCAACCATCATCAAAATCAAAGACATTTGTTAAGTGGAAGTACTGTAGATATTTTCCATAGAAAGCAATCATTTAAATATGTTATTAGTGTACATAAATACATACAAGGTAATAACCCCATTTTTTCTTTCTCTTGGATGTCACTGATGTCTTAGTAACTGGGTGTATTGTAGTATGTTTCTGGACTCTGAGGTATTTGATGGCTCCACCACCATTTACATTTTTTGTTCCAATTAACAGACACCAAACCATTCCTCCTTTCTTTTTCTCTGTACGTGAATGTGTGTGTGTGTTTTCCCATCTTAGTACAAGGACTTGTTCTTCAGCTTCTAGAGTCACTTCCATCTTTGCTTCAATGCATCAGTTGCAATTAATGCATTGAAATGCTACCATGACAATTCAGTTCCTGCATCCATCATTTTTTTTTCACATTTTGTTGACGACAAACAACTTACAGCAACAACCAAAAAATTACAATTCATTCCATACTGTCATCCCTTTGTCCTGACCAGAACAACTCGATCGTGTTGAAGAAGGCATGAACCATATCAACCAAGACATGAAGGAGGCCGAGAAAAATTTAAAAGATTTAGGGAAATGCTGTGGCCTTTTCATATGTCCTTGTAACAAGTAGGTACTGGGTACCAGCTCTGCTCTGTAGTGTCCAGTTCTTTGTCACAAGTGAATGTCTGAAGTTCTTTTTTTTTCTGTCTTTTTTTTCCTTTGTCCCTTTCCATCCGCTTCATACTGTGGGGATAAATTACTTGTGTTTAATCAGAACAACTGGAACGCATCGAAGAGGGAATGGACCAAATCAATAAGGACATGAAAGAAGCAGAAAAGAATTTGACGGACCTAGGAAAATTCTGTGGTCTTTGTGCCTGTCCATGTAACAAGTAGGTGCTGCCTGCCTGCCTGCCTAACTACTTGAGCACCCAAGGCTGATCTCAAATAAATCACAAAGCCTTGTGATGTTCATCCTTGCTGAAGGCACCTGGGCAGGATGAGCATGTGGCATGCAGAGAGAACAATTCTAGTTCCAATGCGTTCATCTCATAGTGTAGACCAGAGGTTCCCAAACTTGTTTGGCCAACAAACTACTCTTCCCAGCTGCCTTTAACATTCCTCCCAGGAGACCCTCTACTTCCATCTGTCAGTATTCAAAATTCCCAAATACAGGGGAAACAATGTTGGGGCAGCAGCCTTGTCTACTCCCCATTTTAGAACCTGAAGCTAATTGCCTGGAAACTTGAATACTGGCATTGGGGTGTGTGGCTTCTCATTAGACCCAGCAGAGAAGAGGAAGTGGCATTTCTCCTGTCACTTCCCCACTGTGGATGGGTTCTTTTGTGACATGGAGAGCTAGGTAAGGCTGGGATGAACATGGATTCATTACTTATTTGCAAAATGCTTATTATCATCTCAAGAGATCAACAGTGGCTTGTGGGTTTGCAGTTTGGAAACCACTGGCGTAGATAACAGCGGGATTACTGTAGATGCATTAAAATCAGGCATACCACAGTGAAATCTTCACTGTGAACATTTTTTTAATGATGAATATTTCAACATTTTATAATGTGTGTACAGCACAGCATCAATTATCTAAGTGGCCAAATTATATCAAGTCTATACTTTCCATTTCTGAATACTTTCCCCTCAAAAGAGCATTAAAAGAAAATACTGTGTTGCCCATGACATGTGGCCCAAAATGCACAAAGTGGTAATCTGGAACAAAGCAATGTCACTATTGCTATTTCTGAGTACAGTTTTTTACACAAGGTCTGGAAACTTGACATGGTTTCCTTGTTTGAATCCCAAGCTGTGTGGAATTTAAACACTGGCAGGAAAACTGGAACAAATCACTCTGCAAATGGTTGTTCCCTAATTGGGTAGTGTACACCAAGCAGAAATGTTGAAATGTGCTGAGTTTGCTTGCATGCAATGAAAATGAAAATGCATAAAGATACTGCATAAAATGTGACATGTGACTTTTGCAGTGAGGTTATAGACCTGGAAGGACGAGCTTTCTGAGGAGTATAAGAGCTATCATGCACTGAATTATTGCATGAATGGGTGACTTAAGACTACATTTGTAATTAGGCAGCCCTAAATTTCTGTGTATTGGCAATCCTTTCTATGTTAGCATTCTCATTCTGCAAATCTAACCTTATAGTCATCTACTCAATTGTGAGAAATTATTTCCTCAAACAGGCTATTCCTGTTTCCTCATTCTATTATGTGGGGACATTAATGTTTCCAAAAAGCAAAGTGTGCTGTTTATATACCACCCCATAGCATTGAAAGTGATTTCTGGGCAGTTTACAATCTAGTTATGGAGGCTACACATTGCACGTACACACACACCAATGAGGAGGGTACTCAGTTTACTGACCTCGGAAGAATGAAAGGCTAAATCAACCATGAGCCAGCTACCTGAGCTTGTCGGGATCGAACTTAGATTGTGAGCAGAGTCTTCACTGCAGTACTACAGTTTAACCACTGTGCTGTGAGGCTCTTCAACGTTACTATACTTCTTGTATTGTTTTGCAAGACAAGCTCCGTCCTTCAAAGCTATTCTATGTGGAGCAGCAAAAACTGTTCAACTGTCTGGCAGGTATGAAAGAGCTTTCTGAATCTGTGCAGTTTTTTCCTTCTAAAATACATTTCAGACCAAGGGCACAATGCTCTCATAGTAAATCAGCGCTACCAGCACATGGAGCACTTATTTTAACACAGATGTCACCCTGAGAAAGAAGAGTGCAGTTGAGCATTGCTGCCACAGACCTGTAGAGGCAAGAGAAAATGGAATTAGTGGTATTCATTGGAAAGAGAGGAAACAAAGACTGCTACTGAACTTAGTAAGGATTTCTAAGCGATGTGCTGCAGCCAATTCGTAAAGATTTTTCGGATCAATTTGTAATTTTCTAAAGATACAAAATGGCGTAGTTCACCAGTGGCTCTACCACCAAACAGGGACAGAGTACTGTACCATGATGTCTGAGCATTGTGATATAGTCCTGTACATACCCTGTTTCCTCAAAAATAAGACCTAACTTGAAAATAAGCCCTAGTATGATTTTTCAGGATGCTCAAAATATAAGCCCTACCCTAAAAATAAGCCCTAGTTAAGTGAAACCCTACCCTCCACCATCGTGCAGCAACCAGAAGATGACATGACTGTAAAATAAAACATCCCTTGAAAATAAGCCCTAATGTGTTTTTGGAACAAAAATTAATATAAGACCCTGTCTTATTTTTGGGGAAACACAGTATCTAGTGAGAATGAAGCCCCACTGAGTTCAGTGAGACATCCTCTCCTATATGTGTGCAGCTGTGGCCTTGCAACTGCTTTGCCCAGACGGTGAGAACCAACCCAGTACAGTGGGGTCTTGACTTAAGAACGGCTCGAGTTACGAACATTTTGACTTATGAACCGCTCTCATAGGAAAATATTGACTTGACTTACATACTTAGATTTGCGTTAAGAACTGAAAAAAACCCACGTGGGAGGCAGGGAAAGTGCAAAATGTGAACTTTCAGTTAACTGTTGGCCAGTGAAAAGGGTGCCTGTCTGCTTCCTCTCTCCTCCCAGCGTTTAGAGAGTGGATTGGGAGACAGTCTTCGGACTGCCTGGTACTGCCTGGACTGTATTGTCCCTGCCTTCCCTGAACCTTTCTTGACCTAAGAAAAAAAGAAACAAAATATCCCCCTCTAGTGGTCGAAGGCAGAATAGCAGCTTCTCATTAGTTTCTATGGACGGAAAAGAGCAGATACAGATCAAATGGTTTTCAATGCATTCCTATGGGAAATGCAGATTTGACCTGAGAACTTTTTGACTTGAGAACCACCTTCCAATACGGATTAAGTTCTCAAGTCGAGACCCCACTGTAGTAAATTGGCAACATGTTTTGAAAAGAAGAATGTGTTGTTGTAAGAAGAGCCGCCAAAATGTTTCAAAGGACAGCTTATCAAGCATCAAAAGCTATATTTTCACGCGAGTCACGTGAGCCTACCTGTGGTTTATTTTACAATCACATTCTTAGCATCCCATTCAAAGCTGTTTATGTACCTATTCTATAAGTGGCCTAGGCATGAATAAGTCTTGTAGCACCTTAAGGCCTTAACAGATGTATTACTGCCATATGTTTGCTAAACATTTGTTGGATTGGGAGGGTGATCGAGAAAGAAGACAAAAAAAATTCACAAAACGATGCAGAAAGCTAGACTATATATTATTAATGCAGTGAGAATCAAAATGTTGTAGAGAGTGTTACAGCTGATCTTTCAAGGTAAACGCAATAGGACAAGAAGTGCCAGCGGGTGAAGAACATGTTGGTCGATGACTAGAAGAATCTAGAAGCCTGGTACATACCATTGTTTCAAAATAGCTATGGCTATATCTAACCCCTGGTAGAAGAGGAATAAGAATAAGAAGAAAGCATGTTTACTTGGAAGTAGATCCTGTTGAGTTTGATTGGGTTGACTCCCAAGCAGGTATGAGAGCAAACAGCAGCTGTGCACATATTCAGAAGCAAGATTTCAGTGAGGTTTACTTCTGTCATCATGCTTCCTATTGCCATACCATGCTGTCCTTAGCATGGTGGTTTACAATTTGTTCTCACTGAGTTTGACTAAGCTAGGGAGTCCTAGAGTTAATAAAGATCACTCACTGTACTCCTTCTCTAGAAGCTGAAGGCAGAAACAGCACTTTTTTGAAGCCATTTATAGAATCTCGTTTGTGAATCTTTTGAAGATCTGACTATATGGCCAAGTGTGTAACATTTTAACCATGTTCAGATCCTATGCTCTCTCATTACCAAGTGTTTAGGTAGAGGCAATATTAGGCTATTATAAAAAAAGTGATTCAAGTTATATACAGAACTATGCATATCTCGTTAATAACAGTATTCAACTTTTTTAAATAGTTGTTTTGACCTCAAGAGCTTTGATGAAACTGACACCGTTTCTGGGTGTATGATAAACTTCTCTCAAATCCAGTTTGTAATCTTGGATAGGTTTGATCCTTAAACAGCACATAAGGCTGCTGCACATATTAATATTGCTCGTCACTGATGGTATGCCTGAATTTTAATTTCTCTGTGGTGGCCCAGTCAAAGATGGCTCTTCTGGAACACTGTGTGCAGCTGAATTCAGATGGTGGCTCTGCAAGATACTTTCCACAGCCTACTGTTTATGGTTCTCAACAAAGTTCTGAAGATCCATTTTTGCCTGTGCCTCCCTTGCTGTGTAGGCTGTTCTTGCTAGTGCATTAAGAGAATGTTGAACCACAGAGGCAGCTGTGCTTATGGAGAATGCTTCACTTATTCATGCCTGTAGCTGGTGCATGAAAAAAAATAGAAGAATTTCCCTTTCTGATGCTTCACATG